AAGCCCCTGCACATATTTTTCAGCCGCTTTGTGGTCCGAACTGGCAGCTTCACCATGCCTTATCACATATGATGCCATTTCCCCTTCTTAAATCTCTCAAACCAACCTTTGCTGGCCTTAAATTCACTCACATCACTAGTTGCTGGCATTTTTTTAATTAAATCGTCATACAACTTCCTAGCCTTTTCAAATATGATCGCTTGAGAGATGCTGTCTCCTGCTATCTGTTTCTCGTTTATCCACACCAATAAAAGTCTCTCAACATCTTCTATCACTTGCGATCTCAGTTTCGAAAACATAGTTGCACCTTTGGCAAGAACAGCTTCCTTGATTGCCGTTTTCTTGCCCACAATAGTAGCGATGGTTGATTGGGGTTTATTATACAACCAACCGCGGCCCGGTCTGTGACCGGGCCGCGGGAGCGTTGACCCCCGGAACTCTCTCCAGGTAAACTCCAGGTGACCAGCTCAGAGATACGCACTCCACTTTCATATTTATCAATGATCACTTTCTTCATCTCCATAGTAATTCTCACCCTTTTTGCTGTAGGGTTGGCACTAGAAGCTTTCTTGGGGCCCACGGTGACTTATTTTGCAGGTGCAATCACTAAAAAGGCTGTGATAATATGAAATGTTCCAGTTGTATGTTTGGAAGCGACTGCGGTGGCTGGCTGGCTTGCAAACACTGGCACCAAAGGGACAAGTGAGGCCCGCTCAGGCCAAAGTGGACGCGTATGGTACCGGAACGAAAAGCGCTGGTCGGGTTTTTAAGCGCTAGTCGAGGCAAAATTTTTGCGTTTAAATGAATCGCTAGTCAAATTTATCGTTAATCGATGCCATCGCTGGTTGAGGGTCCTTATATGTTTTTTATATATATATATAATATATATTATATATATATATATATATATATATATAATATATATATATAATATATATATACGGTGTGTGTGGTGTGTGTGTATTATTATTATTATTATTATAATCAAGGGGGAAGCGCTAAACCCGGAGGATTATACAGCGCCTGGGGGGGGGATGTGGAAGGCATTCAGGCTTAATTCAGGGAACTAGAGCACAGATTCAATTCCCTAAATCAAGAGCCCCTCACCAACAATAAGGAACCTTCCTTGAGGGGTGTGTGTGTGTAGAGAGAGAGAGAGAGAAAGAAAGAAAGATTGGTTTGAAAGACAAGTGAGCAAATTCTGGGGCATTTATTAGAAAATGTTTCGGTTGTGTTACCTTGATCAAGGTTCCAGGACCGAAACGTTTTGTAATAAACATCCTAGTGTTTGCTCACGTGTCTTGTTAAACCAATTTATCGGTATCAATTACCAAGGTTTATACCAAACACAGGTTCATACCAAACCAAAGGCAGAGTGGACATAGTAAGGACCAGCGAGGAGGCGAGGCCAGGAGCTGTGACTCGACCCCTCCAACCACATATAGGTGAATGCTTCTTTTCTCTATATTCCTTTTGTTAGTTTTTCTTGTATGCTTATATGTAGAAAGAATTAATTCACCTGCAGGTGAGGAAAAGTTGGTGGAGAAGCAGTCTGATGAGTGTCTGGCTGAGTTACTTGGGGGCACCGTGTACCATGACGGTGGTGTTGACGAGGACACCAGCGGTGGTGATGTGCTTTGCATTGTAAGTCAAAAATGCTGGCAACGCATGACTGCTCAAGGCTACTCGGGATATTCACTCACACATCAAGTCTTCTACCTCACCATAGGACTACGGGTGAGCTGTTTGGTTTGTTAGATTGAAGGTATATCGACTCTAGAAAGGTCAATAGACAGTACTGCAAATGTGTATGAGCATCAAAAATACTTTAATCCCTATTATAGGGAATAAAATAAATCTGACCCATTTTTCTTAACAGCTCCCATGGGATGATCTCAATTCTGTTAAGTATGCAAGTATGTATACTGTACTTTTGTGTATGGTGCCTGTGTAGGTGCCTGTATGGTGCCTGTGTAGGTGCCTGTATGGTGCCTGTGTAGGTGCCTGTATGGTGCCTGTGTAGGTGCCTGTATGGTGCCTGTGTAGGTGCCTGTATGGTGCCTGTGTAGGTGCCTGTATGGTGCCTGTGCAGTTTTCACAGAGGCCCACATAAAGGATCACTTTGACAATGAAATATGGATCCCGGATTACAACCTATACAGATGCGACGGAGTGAATAAGCAAAAGTGGGGGGGATTAGCCTGTATATCACAGTCACTTACATGCTCGGAACTACTACATGACTCAAATAATGTAGTTGAGGTTTTGGCAGTAAAGATCGAGAACCAAAACATGGTCATTGTGGTTGTATACAAGCCTCCAGATGCAACTTCCCAACAGTTCCAGGAACAGCTTGTGAAAATTGATCACTGGCTGGAAAATCTTTCAGCTCCTGCCCCCAACATCATGCTCCTGGGGGATTTCAGCCTAAGGCATCTAAAATGGAGGAATGTAGCAAATAATGTTGTAGCAGAGATAACACCAGGAGGCAGCTCAGATGAAAACTCACACACACATGAGCTTTTAAATCTCTGCACCAAATTCACCTTACACCAGCAAATACTGATAAAATCAACAAGATTAGAGAATACACTGGACTCATCTTCACTAACAATGATGATCTTATACGAAATATTACCATATCAAAAATTATATACTCAGATCACAATATAATAGAGGCTCAGACATGTATGCGCGGGGCCCCATATCTGCAGAGGGTTTTTGGGGCCAGTGCCCCCGAGGTCCGGTCCATGACCAGGCCTCGCGGTGGATCAGGGCCTGATAAACCAGACTGTTACTGCTAGCTGCATGCAGACCAACGTACGAGTCACAGCCTGGCTGGTCAGGAACTGACTTGAGGTGCCTATCCAGCGGCACCTAGAAGACAGTAGGGGTCTATTGGTAATCCCCCTTATGTATGCTGGGAGGCAGTTGAACAGTCTCGGGCCCCTGACATTTATTGTGTTATCACTTAGCATACTCAAAGTTTTCCAGTGGGCAACGGAAAACAATATGATGTTCAATGAGGACAAATTCCAACTACTCTGTTATGGAAAACTGGAGGGATAATAACTAGAACAGAGTATACTACAAACTCTGGCCATACAATAGAGCGGAAAAATAATGTAAGGGACCTGGGAGTAGTAATGTTCAGACATTACTACTCCCAGGTCCCTAACATCATATCACTTTTCATCTCATCCCCTGCAGGGGATGAGATGAAAGACTGTAAGCCTTCTCCCTGAAAGCTGGCTGCCTTGGATCAAAGTCTAGCGCAAGCTGGACTCCAAGGTATTGTCCAGTGGGGTAGATTGGTAAAGCACTGCGTACCTTGTTCCAAGGTTCGTAGGTTCGAGTCTCCTTCACCAGAGATCAGTGTTTATATATATAATAAAATAAAGAGTAGTATAGAATGATAATAAAGAAAGAGTAAAGATATATAATAATAGTAGTAAATAGAAAATAGAGAGAGAGAGAGAGAGAGAGAGAGAGAGACATTACCAACAATTAGTTTCTCAGTTATTTTATTCGTCTGTTTTCCTCTTTCATGAATTCTTTACTTTTGATAGGTTTCGAGTTTGTTATTCACACAACTCGGCCTTGAGCCAGACTTGTCTGGTACTTGCCTGGTCAAATATAAACCATAACACGGGCGGGATTTGAACCCGCGGTCAGAGAGTCTCAAAGCACCGGACTGTCGCGTTAGCCACTGGGTTCAAATCCCGCCCATGGTATGGTTTGTTTGCAATCGTGTCATTACAATTTCGTGAGTCTGGTCAAATATGCTACGGCTTCTGGCGGCCCGCTGGCCCTCTATTTAATTTCTTCCATTTCACTAGCTACAACTGAATAACATATAACTTAGCTAAGTTAGCATTTCACTATAATCTCTAAACAACCTGCTTTCATTACATAGGTAAAAAACATCAACATAACCTGGTCTGGGACTGGGCCACGGAAGGCCGTGACCTCTGGAAGGAGATATTATGTGCATAGTAAATCTGCATTTTATAGTTTCTCACTCCACAATTTTATCGAGATTGTTTAGAGGAAATCATAGTGTCCTAATCTACCATACTGTCTTTCTAACATAATTCTACCATGTTTGTGGGCAAGTCTTGCCTCTTAGACGTGACAACAATCACTTGCATCAGTTAGCATTACTTCCTGTGGTGTTACAGGCAGGGTGTGGCGAGCAACTGGAGCTGCTGGCTGCGAGGGATGGTGGTGTTAATGGTGGTGCTAGGAGTGATGTGACGCACATCTTGGCGGAGCTGTGCACCGCGGTATTACAAGAAGCTACCGCCATCTCTCAGGCTGGCTTCCCAGACTATCGTCGCGACCTCTTCATGGAACAAGGTCAAGCAACATACCATTTCTAAGAGACTTCAGTAGCGTAATACTTCAGTGGTGTCTCGATGCTGGTGAAGGGTTCCTCAACCAAAAAACTGGAGCTACCCTCCCCTGCCTCGAATCACACAAGATTATCTCCCATTTCCCATTTACTGTAATAATAATAATAATAATAATAATAATAATAATAATAATAATAATAATAATAATAATAATAATAATAATAATAATAATAATAATAATAATGGAATAAAAGTATAATAAAATACAGACACTGTGACTAAAAGACACAAGCAGTATGGAAACCTATATTAACAGATGTTTTGCTGGGACACCATTCTTCAGCAAATCTTACAGGCATGACATGTATAAGTCAGCAGTGTAGGTGAACATAATAGGTGAAGTGACTTCATGTTAGGTTATACAGATCAATTGATCGGTCAAAACTCTCAGGTTAGACCCACGAGGGTGAGAGTGGGGATAGTGGAAGAAAAGACGAGTTGTTAGGTAAAAGACACAAGTGCAACTAATGTGACATTTTATTTCGCTCCTGGAGAGCGAAACGTTGCCACAATAAAATGTCACATTAGTTGCAGCTGTGTCCTTTTGCCGAACATATCGGTAATTCTACCGACATTATTACAAAAGAGGAGTCGTTTGAGAAGGAAAAGAGCCGGGGCTAGACCCAGCCGCCTGACATTTTACTGGCAAAAGTTGGACATGTGCCGCAGACTCTGCTATCAGTTTTCTGTTGGAAAAAAAAAAAAAACTTGATAGGGCAGGGGTGACAGGGATGGGTGGACAGGCGGCGCCAGAACATCATGTACACTTTGTATATTGGCACTTGATGAATTTTCCAGCTCCCGTGTAGCCTGGTGACCATCTGGACGCTTCTAAATTCGTGTAATTCCTATTACAATCTTGCAGCAAGCGAGCATTTTTGAAGATTTCTCGGGATTTAGTGGACATTGAAGTGAAGCTTTTTTTATGTGTGTCGCAGAAAGTTAACGATTTCTGGCCTCTCGCAGGTGCACTCTGTGGAATCCTCGGGTACAGGAATTTCTTCAAGAAGGACTGGCTGTCTCGGGTTCTCTCTTGGCAGAAGGATCCAGGATGTTTTGGAGCTTCATCTGTTATCCCTGACCAGCTCTCCACCACACCTGACCAGCTCTCCACCACACCTGACCAGCTCTCCACCACACCTGACCAGCTCTCCACCACACCTGACCAGCTCTCCACCACACCTCACCACACAAGGTCAGGACCATCTCAAAAAAGACATTATTTACGCATTTTCATTGTTCAATTTTTTTTTCTAAACGAGAAGTTTTTCATCCATATTAATTTTTTTAATTTACTCCAATATTTTGTAATTTCCAAATTAATCTGTTATGAGAGACTGTCCTCTCAAGGAAGGTTCCTGGACGCTGGTGAGGGGCTCTTGATTTAGGGAATTGGATCTGAGCTCCAGTTCCTAAATTAAGCCTGAATACCTTCCATCCCTCCCCTCATAGGCGCTGTATAATCCCTACGGCCGTAGTGCTCCCCATTAATAATAATAACAATAATAATAATAGGTCTTGGCAAGAGGCGTGGAGTTAAAAGATAAAGAATCACACATAAGGTGAGAGTTGTCACAGTTGCTCTTTGCTGATGACACTGTGCTCTTGGGAGATTCTGAAGAGAAGTTGCAGAGGTTGGTAGATGAATTTGGTAGGGTATGTAAAAGAAGAAAATTAAAAATGAATACAGGAAAGAGTAAGGTTATGAGGATAGCAAAAAGATTAGGTGATGAAAGATTGGATATCAGATTGGAGGGAGAGAGTATGGAGGAGGTGAATGTATTCAGGTATTTGGGAGTGGACGTGTCAGCGCATGGGTCTATGAAAGATGAGATGAATCATAGAATTGATGAGGGGAAAAGAGTGAGTGGTGCACTTAGGAGTCTGTGGAGACAAAGGAGGGGCTCTTGATCTAGGGAATTGGATCTGTGCTCCAGTTCCCTGAATTGAACCTGAATACCTTCCATCCCCCCCACATGCGCTGTATAACCCTACGGGTTTAGCGCTTCCCTGTGATTATAATAATAATGTGGAGACAAAGAACTTTGTCCTTGGAGGCAAAGAGGGGAATGTATGAGAGTATAGTTTTACCAATGCTCCAGGTAACCTCCAGGTAGCACCTCCAGGTAACCTACAGGTAACACCTCCAGGTAACCTCCAGGTAGCACCTCCAGGTAACCTCCATGTAACCTCCAGGTAAAACCTCCAGGTAACCTCCATGTAACCTCCAGGTAAAACCTCCAGGTAACACCTCCAGGTAACACCTCCAGGTAACCTCCAGGTAACACATCCAGGTAACCTCCAGGTAACACCTCCAGGTAGCTTCCAGGTAACCTCCAGGTAGCACCTCCAGGTAACACCTCCAGGTAACCTCCAGGTAACCTCCAGGTAACACCTCCATGTAACCTCCAGGTAACACCTCCAGGTAACCTCCAGGTAACCTCCAGGTAACACCTCCAGGTAACACCTCCAGGTAACCTCCAGGTAACACCTCCAGGTAACCTCCAGGCAACACCCCCAGGTAACCTCCAGGTAACACCTCTAGGTAACCTCCAGGTAAGACCTCCAGGTAACCTCCAGGTAACACCTCCAGGTAACCTCCAGATAACACCTCCAGGTAACCTCTAGGTAACACCTCCAGGTAACCTCCAGGTAACACATCCAGGTAACCTCCAGGTAACACCTCCATGTAACCTCCAGGTAACACCTCCAGGTAACCTCCAGGTAATACCTCCAGGTAACCTCCAGGTAACACCTCCAGGTAACCTCCAGGTAACACCTCCAGGTAACCTCCAGGTAACCTCCAGGTAACACCGCCAGGTAACCTACAGGTAACCTCCAGGTAACACCTCCAGGTAATTTCCAGGTAACACCTCCAGGTAACCTCCAGGTAACACCTCCAGGTAACCTCCAGGTAAAACCTCCAGGTAACCTCCAGGTAACCTCCAGGTAACACCTCCATGTAACCTCCAGGTAACACCTCCAGGTAACACCTCCAGGTAACCTCCAGGTAACACCTCCGGGTAACCTCCAGGTAGCACCTCCAGGTAACCTCCAGGTAGCACCTCCAGGTAACACCTCCAGGTAACCTCCAGGTAGCACCTCCAGGTAACCTCCATGTAACCTCCAGGTAAAACCTCCAGGTAACCTCCAGGTAACACCTCCAGGTAACACCTCCAGGTAACCTCCAGGTAACACATCCAGGTAACCTCCAGGTAACACCTCCAGGTAGCTTCCAGGTAACCTCCAGGTAACCTCCAGGTAGCACCTCCAGGTAACACCTCCAGGTAACCTCCAGGTAATACCTCCAGGTAACCTCCAGGTAACACCTCCAGGTAACCTCCAGGTAACACCTCCAGGTAACCTACAGGTAACCTCCAGGTAACACCTCCAGGTAATTTCCAGGTAACACCTCCAGGTAACCTCCAGGTAACACCTCCAGGTAACCTCCAGGTAAAACCTCCAGGTAACCTCCAGGTAACACCTCCATGTAACCTCCAGGTAACACCTCCAGGTAACCTCCAGGTAACACCTCCGGGTAACCTCCAGGTAGCACCTCCAGGTAACCTCCAGGTAGCACCTCCAGGTAACACCTCCAGGTAACCTCCAGGTAGCACCTCCAGGTACAGGTAACACCTCCAGGTAACCTCCAGGTAACACCTCCAGGTAACACCTCCAGGTAACTTCCAGGTAACACCTCCAGGTAACACCTCCAGGTAACACCTCCAGGTAACCTCCAAGTAACACCTCCAGGTAACCTCCAGGTAACACCTCCAGGTAACCTCCAGGTAACACCTCCAGGTAACACCTCCAGGTAACCTCCAGGTAACACCTCTAGGTAACCTCCAGGTAACACCTCCAGGTAACCTCCAGATAACCTCCAGGTAACACCTCCAGGTAACACCTCTAGGTAACCTCCAGGTAACACCTCCAGGTAACCTCCAGGTAACCTCCAGGTAACACCTCCAGGTAACACCTCCAGGTAACACCTCCAGGTAACCTCCAGGTAACACCTCTAGGCAACCTCCAGGTAACACCTCCAGGTAACCTCCAGATAACCTCCAGGTAACACCTCCAGGTAACCTCCAGGTAACACCTCTAGGTAACCTCCAGGTAACACCTCCAGGTAACCTCCAGGTAACCTCCAGGTATCACCTCCAGGTAACACCTCCAGGTAACCTCCAGGTAACACCTCTAGGCAACCTCCAGGTAACACCTCCAGGTAACCTCCAGGTAACACCTCTAGGTAACCTCCAGGTAACACCTCCATGTAACCTCCAGGTAACACCTCCAGGTAACCTCCAGGTAACACCTCCAGGTAACCTCCAGGTAACACCTCCAGGTAACACCTCCAGGTAACCTCCAGGTAACACCTCCAGGTAACACCTCCAGGTAACCTCCAGGTAACCTCCAGGTAACACCGCCAGATAACCTCCAGGTAACACCTCCAGGTAACACCTCCAGGTAACCTCCAGGTAACACCTCCAGGTAACCTCCAGGTAACACCTCCAGGTAACCTCCAGGTAACCTCCAGGTAACCTTCAGGTAATACCCCCAGGTAACCTCCAGGTAACACCTCCAGGTAACACCTCCAGGTAACCTCCAGGTAACACCTCCAGGTAACACCTCCAGGTAACCTCCAGGTAACACCTCCAGGTAACACCGCCAGATAACCTCCAGGTAACACCTCCATGTAATTTCCAGGTAACACCTCCAGGTAACCTCCAGGTAACACCTCCAGGTAACCTCCAGGTAACCTTCAGGTAATACCCCCAGGTAACCTCCAGGTAACACCTCCAGGTAACCTCCAGGTAAGACCTCCAGGTAACCTCCAGGTAACACCTCCAGGTAACCTCCAGATAACACCTCCAGGTAACCTCCAGGTAACACATCCAGGTAACCTCCAGGTAACACCTCCAGGTAACCTCCAGGTAACATCTCCAGGTAACCTCCAGGTAACACTTCCAAGTAACCTCCAGGTAACACCTCCAGGTAACCTCCAGGTAACCTCCAGGTAACACCTCCAGGTAACCTCCAGGTAACCTCCAAGTAACACCTCCAGGTAACCTCCAGGTAACACCTCCAGGTAACCTCCAGGTAACACCTCCAGGTAACACCTCCAGGTAACACCTCCAGGTAACACATCCAGGTAACCTCCAGGTAACACCTCCAGGTAACCTCCAGGTAACACCTCCAGGTAACACCTCCAGGTAACACCTCCAGGTAACTTCCAGGTAACACCTCCAGGTAACACCTCCAGGTAACACCTCCAGGTAACCTCCAAGTAACACCTCCAGGTAACCTCCAGGTAACACCTCCAGGTAACCTCCAGGTAACACCTCCAGGTAACACCTCCAGGTAACCTCCAGGTAACACCTCTAGGTAACCTCCAGGTAACACCTCCAGGTAACCTCCAGATAACCTCCAGGTAACCTCCAGGTAACACCTCTAGGTAACCTCCAGGTAACACCTCCAGGTAACCTCCAGGTAACACCTCCAGGTAACACCTCCAGGTAACCTCCAGGTAACACCTCTAGGCAACCTCCAGGTAACACCTCCAGGTAACCTCCAGATAACCTCCAGGTAACACCTCCAGGTAACCTCCAGGTAACACCTCTAGGTAACCTCCAGGTAACACCTCCAGGTAACATCCAGGTAACCTCCAGGTAACACCTCCAGGTAACACCTCCAGGTAACACCTCTAGGCAACCTCCAGGTAACACCTCCAGGTAACCTCCAGATAACCTCCAGGTAACACCTCTAGGTAACCTCCAGGTAACACATCCAGGTAACCTCCAGATAACCTCCAGGTAACACCTCCAGGTAACCTCCACATAACCTCCAGGTAACACCTCCAGGTAACACCTCCAGGTAACCTCCAGATAACCTCCAGGTAACACCTCCAGGTAACCTCTAGGTAACACCTCCAGGTAACCTCCAGATAACTTCCAGGTAACACCTCCAGGTAACCTCCAGGTAACACCTCCAGGTAACCTCCAGATAACCTCCAGGTAACACCTCCAGGTAACCTCCAGGTAACCTCCAGGTAACACCTCCAGGTAACACCTCCAGGTAACCTCCAGGTAACACCTCCAGGTAACCTCCAGGTAACAGCAGTTTTTTAAGGCTCATCAGGCAAACAACACTATGTTATATCTGGAGTATATATATAGAGGGTTTCGAGGGTCAACGCCCCTGCGGCTCGGTCTGAGACCTTGCCTCGTGGTGGATCAACGGTTTGACCAACCAGGCTGTTACTGCTGGCCACACGCAAAATGACGTACGAACCACAGCCCGGCTGGTCAGGTACTGACTTTAGGTGCCTGTTAGTGCCTTCTTGAAGACAGCCAGGGGTCTATTGGTAATCTCCCTTATGTATGCTGGGAGGCAGTTGAACAGTCTTGGACCCCTGACACTTATCGTGTTGTCTCTTAGTGTACTCGTGGCGCCTCTGCTTTTCATTGCGGAAATGTTGCATCTTCTGCCAAGTCTTTTGCTATCATAGGGAGTGATTTTCGTGTGCAAGTTTGATATTAATCCCTCTAACATTTTCCAAGTGTATATTATCATGTATCTCTCTCACCTGCGTTCCAGGGAATACAAATCAAGGGACTTCAACTGTTCCCAGTAATTTAGGTGCCTTATCATATTTGTGTGCCGTGAAAGTTCTTTGTACACTCTCCAGGTCAGCAATTTCGCCTGTCTTGAAGGAGGCTGTTAGTGTACAGCAGTATTCCAGCCTAGAGAGAACAAACAATTTGAAGGGAATCATCATGGGCTTGGCATCCCTAGTTTTGAAGGTTTTCATTATCCATCCTCTCATTTTCTAGTAGATGCGGTGTTGTGGTCTTTGAAGGCGAGATCCTCTGACATTATCACTCTCAGGTCCTTCACATTACTCTTTCGCTCTACTGTATGATTAGAATTTGTCATGTACTCTGATACAGTTTTAATTTCCTCAAGTTTTCCATATCTGAGTAGTTGAAATTTCTCTTCATTGAACTTCATATTGTTTTGAGAGGCCCATTGGAAGATTTGGTTGATGTCCGCTTGGTGTCTTGCGGTTTCTTCGATGGAGGTCACTGTCATGGCAATTCGGGTGTTATCCGCAGAGGAAGACATGTAGTATCTATGGCTTACATCTCTGTCTATGTCAGAAACGATGATGATGAATAGGATGGGGGGGGGGGGGTCGAGTACTGCGCCTTGTGGAACAGAGCTTTTCACGTTGCCTTATAAATACATACATTGAGTGTCCGTGGTTCGATCCCCGGTATGGGTGAAAACATTGGGCGTGTTTCCTTGTTACACCTATTGTTCATGTTCACCTAACAGCTAGTAGGTACTTGGGAGTTAGCTCTACTAAGCATAACCAAGGACTTTCTATATAGTATGTCACTGATGTCAACTAGGTCTGTATAAGTTGTATCATGTACTTGTAGAAATATAGATTATTAATACTGAACACATTTGTATGGTACAGACTCTGACTACCTCTCAGCACACCACACATGAGGGAGGCTTTAGCTGAGTGTTGTTGACTGACTCTCCCCAAATGGTAGCAAACAGTGTATTGTGAAGGTCTCAAGGACAGAGAACTACAATTGCATGTCATGTCCAAGGGAGAGTTTGTGAAGTTACACAACCCTCCCCAATTCCTCTCGTGGCCAAATTTCCTACCCTTGGACTGGAAATTCCTTCCCTGGGGGTCCAAGTAGACTCGTTGAGAACCACTGGTTTAGAGGATCTTCCATATCCTAAATTTTAAGCGTTTTTTTTTTAACAATATTTAATGATTATTATTTTATTCACCATTTCTTTGAATGAGATCTCTAAGATGATTCAGAGTGAATAACATAATCACAAAAATTTTACGCGTTAAACCCGTATAAATATCCAGACTGAATGTGGAAAATTACATTTACCTGGATGTATCTCATTAGATACATACAAGTAAATGGTAACAAAGATAATTATTATTTATCAAAGTTACAGAGACAAGTAGGAATTTTTGGGACACCTAGGTCGCAAAAAATGTCCCCCTTCGATACCTACCATAATCTATCTCTCCACAAGTTGCTCTAGACCTATTAATTGCAAATGAAATATACATTACCAGGAATTCTGGTAAAATTTAATATAAATTTGTGGACTGTATATTAAAATTAATAAATGATTACATATACACATTTATATAACAGAAGGAGAATTTATAATCATAACACTCACCAATTAGTCTGGAGGTTACTGTGTATCATGTACAGAACCCCCCTCTAATTAAATTTATGATGATAATACTGGCCAGAATTACAAACATAATTTAGATAGCTTATCTGAGGTTCCTGGAGCTGTACTGTACATCGGCTTAATGCTCAAATTATGCAGGAATGCACATCCAACAATTTCGGCTCCTATTTGAGAGGTTTTAAGCCCAATATAACCCCTAGAGCGACGAAAATTATACATCTTACATTAACGTGCTTGTAACACATTAAAAAACAATGGCATCTCTTCCCTGCCCGTCAGCGCAGGTGCAGAGCTTTCCCCTCGGTTCACCTCTTTAAAATACATTAGGCAGGGTGTTGTTGATCACATTATCAGGTATATTTACATTATAAAAATATACAGCATAATTTTGGGAAATTATTTCCCACACTGATGTTTTAATGTTTCTTCCCATTTCTTAATAGCCCATGATCAGGGGCGGATCTACTATGACGCTTAGGTTCAAGGCCCCTAATCCTGGAGGGACACCAGAAGCTACATTGCTTAAAATTTTTGGGTCTACTGTACGTATGAGAAGGGGTTGCGAAGGGGCCCCCCCCATAACAGTTCAAGCTTTAGGGCCCCAAAAATGTAGGTCTGCCACTGCCCATGATCCATCATTCTATATTTTTATCAATGTCCACATTTTCTTAACATCATCCAGTTACTTGAACAAGCTTAATTTCATTAAAGTGGTGTGAATTACAGTCAAATTTATTTAGTAATGTTTCTTTAGTGAATGCATTTTGAAATTCATCTTTTATGTTCGTTTAATCATTTATCTCAAGTTATCTTGCTTATCTTTCATGCTTTAGTTAATTTTTGTTTACACATTTGCACCGAGAGGCACATCTCTCTGTGTATATACTCAGAGAGTTCACTTTAATTCCTATCTTAGATATTAAGGTATTATTGGACATTAGTGTACAGATGACGTGCAGCCTAATTACACCATAAATTATTTATACAAAATGGTTACAGTGAAAGAAAGAAAATGTAGGATTTAACTCGCATTAAACACCAACCAAACTATTTTACAACCGTTAGCATTGGCTTCTTAGTTTATTTTCGTTACTGTTCCTTCAATTAAAAATAATCTTAAAACCTTAGCTTTGTATATTTATTTCTGAGTTTTTCAAATATCTAGTAGGTTTGTGAGCTGGAAGTTATCTATACTGGTACCAAGATCTGTATTATACATGAACTAATAGTTTTTATTAATCCATTTATTCTCTCCCTGTGTGTGTAAAAAGAATGCGTCGCGAGGAGCGCCCCATGGGCGGACACTGCCTGGCACACCGATCAGCAGTCGCTCTGGGCTACCTCAGTCTCTCAGTTCGATTCCTGGTTACCGTCCTCTAGATGTTTTGAGGATGTCCCCTCTGCTGTTTCTGCTTCAGTCGAGCTTCATCCTTGACGCACTTATACACCACTCACACAATGTATGAGCATCACCGGCAAGACAGAATTGTCCAAATTTGTGCTCTCTCTGTAGCGCCACTTAAAAGTAAGGGCAATGTCTCAAAAAGGAGAATAACATAACACTAACATTGTGTAAATGCTAATAAAATATAATCATTAAACCTTTTTTTAACCTATCTCAACAATGCAACTAAGTTTACCAAACAGGCGAGGTCTCAAATTAGCACCAACAAAACTTAGTTAAAAGTTTTCTCACGCTTGTGGTCCTACCCACCTTAGGGTCTATCATAATGGATGCAAAATAACACTTCTCTGTTATATTTGTTTGCTATTTGACAGCCTTGTATTTTCCAGTAGTTCTTGGTCAAAGAGACATTCGGGTGTGTGCTGATAATCCTTTATTCAGATACAACAAAACGAATGCTCCTAGCTGCAAAGAAATAAAATACAAAACTTAGGATGCACAACATGATGCTATGAGTACATCTTGTACCTCACGTCCTAACATATCATTATCTGTGCATAGTATAAAAGGAAATCTAACGTGGGTGTTCTGTGTCCCTCCCTACATAACACGTAATTACTAACTTACATATTGGGAAGTATTAAGTGTGCCGTCGGCCCAATGACCTCTTTGTTTACACTCGAGTTTCTCCGCCTCACCTACAGGCGGAGTATGAGTGCCGCCAACTCCCCATATTTGACTCACTCTGTCACTTCACCTACATCCCCCGCAGTTTTCAGCAGGAAACTCATCACTCTGTGACAAAATCCCGTAGGTACGCTGGCGGACGTCTGTCTCTGCGTGGTCTTGGAAGCGGTGACACAGGAGTGTTCTGTGTGACGGTCGGGCCGGATACTGGCTTTTGTGCCTGTGGGAGTGCCTAGTCTGTGTGCTCCATGGGTGGGTACGGGGCTGTTGCTGTGTCGTGCAACTGTGGAGGTGTGGCTGCCGCGTCGCCATTGGTCACCTGAGGCAACTTGCCGTCCTGTATTGCACCGCACGCTGGCATAGATGGGACGTCGGGAAGCTGAGGACAAGTATATAGTGATGACGAGGGCTGGTTGACATTGGCCAGCCCCTGAATGTGGCACAGGAACCGCTGATATGCCAAGAAGGTCCTACTCCCTACCATTCCCACAATTGGCATATGCACCTCGAACCTCTAACTACAGTAGTGTGCATATTAATTGGGAGAGATGAAATAAGCCTTTTATTTGGAAAATTAATGTATATTTGAAAAATACACGGTTATGCTATGACAGATGACTGATTTAATAAAATATATGACAACCCTTTGCTGTTATAAGCAATGCTATATGCTTTGGCATAGAATCGACCAATGTTGAACACATTTTGGTAAGTTCGTCGTAGTACTAGGTCCTGATAGCAGCAGCAAGCTTATACACAGTTGAACAGTCTTGTTTCACGATCCTGCGTTTGGTTTTTGCCCATAGATTCTTAACTGGATTGAGGTCAGGAGAGTTTCCAGGGCAATTTAGGACGCTTAGCCCTCTCTCTTCGAAGAACGTCAACATCTTTCTGGAAGCATGGCATGGAACGAGCCTTCTCCATCAGGAAAGTATCTGTCCACAATGGAAGCAAATAAATTGCCAGGATTGTTTTGTATTTATCACTTCATCGTTCCCTCAACAATAACAAGTCATCCAAGGCCTTTAGCAGTAAAACTACTCCATAACATTTTAGGTGGGTGTTTTGGTGCTTGAAGGTATTCATTCCGAAAAAAATCGCCTTTGCTACATCTCACTGATCTGTATTCATGTACTTCAAAATGCTCCTCATCTAAAAATATAACTTTTCTCCATTTATCTGTCGTCCATCCCTCATGATCGAGTGCCCACTGCAGCAGTTTTTCTTCATAGCAGCAATCAATAACTTTCTTTACATTTTTTCTGGCAGTTCTGCCAACCTCAGGGAGCCAGCTGAAGCCAAATATCTCTGTAGATTTTTGTTGGTTTTCATGAGATCCTTCACACTGTTTCCTATGATAACCTTGTCATGGTGAGGTATTGTCTTGCGCTTTCTTCCATATCTTCCTCAGCGCAGCACTCCACAATCACAAGTGTCGTCAGCTCTCTTCAGAATCTGACCAACAGCTGACTGCTAAATTCAAATTTTCGGTGATCTGTCTGATACTCAAATAAGCATGTTCTCTAAGAGCTACAGTACTTGCACACTTCTTAGGTGTAATCATGAACTGAAGGAGAGAATTTGGCGAAACCACATTCACTCGCAGAGAATGCTTATAGGAATAGCCTTACAGAACAATAACTGTTGTAGCACTGACGACAGTCGCAGGGTAACATTACAGTTGGATGGTTGCCAGAAGTCGGCAACAAACTCTTCTAGAAAAAAACTACATTAATTAAGCCGAAGACTAAGACATACGAGATAATCACAAAATTTACTCCTGTCCCAATTAATTTACACAAGACCGTACGTATCCAACTCTTTACATAAATATTTGGGTTATTAAACAGAACTCAAGATTCCATCTCTGGTCTGGTCAGGCAACACTTAATATTTATTAACCTCACAAATTTTAAGGTGCAAAATGATAGACATCGCTGTATAGAATATGTCATCTTCAAGCGCCCTATGCCATTAAGGATTTCAGAGCTGCAATCAGCAAGCAAATAACATAGCCAACTTGAGGCGGTAATACTCGAGATCAGTGTTCTAATTGTGGTGGACCACATTAGTGTTCTGATGTGGTATCCAGCACACATCAGTGTTCTGATGTGGTAGACCAGCACACATCAGTGTTCTGACGTGGTAGACCAGCACACATCAGTGTTCTGATGTGGTAGACCAGCACACATCAGTGTTCTGACGTGGTAGACCAGCACACATCAGTGTTCTGATGTGGTAGACCAGCACACATCAGTGTTCTGACGTGGTAGACCAGCACACATTAGTGTTCTGATGTGGTAGACCAGAACACATCAGTGTTCTGATGTGGTAGACCAGCACACATCAGTGTTCTGACGTGGTAGACCAGCACACATGAATTCAGTCACAAAAATGTTAGTGTAGATTATATTACTTATATTACCTTATATTTTGTCAAGGCATAATTGACCTTAAACAAGTTTAAGTGATTATGCGTTATTTACAGTAAGAAAAGTCGGAATTTTTCAAGAATAGTTGGTGATATGTCACTGGACAAAATACTCTGACATTTCTTGAACATCTGCGAGTGAGTTATCTTTGAATTCATTAATCTGATTGAATTCCAGCATATAATGACGCAGGGTGTGACAGAGTTTACGTCTGTTTATGTCTACATCAGCTGGTGATACAACCTGCCAGAGATACTTGTAGCCCAGCCGGAGCCTAGCGGTAGTAACAGCCAAGAGTCTTGTGATTCTGCTGGATGCGCCATAAACACGTGGCTCCTCCTGCATGACACAATGACGATTCAATTCAATTCAGTTCAAGTTTATTCTCTATAAGGGTTACAATGTGGGCTTTACAGGTTTTGGGTATTGTGTGGTTTACATGTTATAAAATACTAATTACAGAGGGGGCCACTAGGACACCTAGCATGGCTAGGCATTTCGAGCAGACTTAAATTAAATCTTAACATTAAATCCTTACAGATTATGGTATTAAGGCTAAATGACTACATTATAATTTGAGAGTTAAGCAATGTGAATGCTTTTGTTTTGGCACAATACAAGGTGTCTATATTGGAGTATCATAGGCAAACTTATGACTAGTTAGGATTTATTATTTTAAGATTAGTATTTCTGGGTTTATAGTCAGTGGGTGAGTGAGTATAATTGTGAACCACCAGGTGGTTATTGTGGAAAATACTGTATATATTTTCCAGAAATTCAGTATTTATATGTAAAAAGATGGCCTATATTGTATTTAATAAAAATTATATTATAGAAAATGGGAAACTGAGCCTGCGCCTGCGCAGAAGAGGACTAGCCATCTTGGTTTTGAATTGTGTACAACGTTGGTGTGATGGGTAAGAATTTTCGCGCTCTAGAGGTTGAAATTGGGTTGACACTTACCGAGATATAAGACCATGAAGTTGGCAATGGATGCTCACTTGATGGCAACATCAAGTTCTGTCGCTTGCAGAAGTGTTGCCGATATACTTTTTTTCTTGTTTTTATTTCGCCTCAAATAGGAGGCGAAATTGTTGGACATGCATTCCTGCATAACTTGAGATATCAGACGACTGGACAAGACAGCTCCAGGAACCTCAGATAAGCTCTCTAGATTTGTGTATAATTCTGGCCAGTGTTTTCATAAATTTAGTTAGTGAGGTTTTTCTGAGTTTGATACAACTTAATATCCAGTCAAATTGGTGAGTGATATTAAGATATATTTTCCTTGTTATGTATATGTGAATTTATATATAATCATTTTTTAATATACAGTCCACAAATTTATTTATTTACCAGTATTCCTGGTGATGTATAATTCATTTAATTAATAGGTCCAGAGCAACTTGTGGATATGACAGTGGTAGGTATCGAAGGGGGACATTTTTGCGACCTAGGTGTCCCAAATTCCTACTTGTCTAACTGGTAAATAATAATTATCTATGCTCATTTATTGTTATGTACATAATTATACATACAGATAAATGCAATTTTCCACAGTTATCATGTAGTTAGTTGTCGGGGTCGATCAGGGAGATAAGATGTTTTCTAACTGTAGTTTTGAAAGTGATGAATGTGTCTGCAGTTCTAGAGTTTTCAGGTAGGGTGTTCCAGATTTTTGGTTCTTTGAAATACATTGAATTTTTGTAAAGGTTTAGTCGAACATGGGGAATGTCATAGAGATGTTTGTGTCTGGTGTTATGCCTGTGGGTTCTGTCACAACTATCAAGAAAGCGTTTTAGGTCAAGGTTAATATTGGAATTTAAGGTCCTGTAGATATAGATTGCACAGTAGTAAGTGTGAATGTTCTGAACAGGGAGTAAGTTTAGATCTATGAAGAGTGGGGGGGGTGTTGCCAGGGATGGGATTTAGTGATTATTCTTACTGCGGCTTTTTGTTGGGTTATTATTGGCTTAAGGTGTGTTGCTGCAGTTGAACCCCAAGCACAGATAGCATAGGTGAGGTATGGATATATAAGTGAATGGTATAGTGTGAGAAGGGCAGTTTGCGGCACGTA